GTTGGGTTTGACTCCTGTGGACATGGATTCTAAGCTGTGTTGCTTTGGACAAGCCACTACCTTTCTGAGCCTCTGTTTTGTCTGCAGAATGGGCTGTGTTGGTAGTTTTGCTGTGAAGATTAAGTGAGAGGATTCATGCAAAGCATGTGGTGCTTAGTAAGCACTAAACAGTGTGATTATATTAATAATATAATGGTGCTCTTATAAGGCACAGAGTGATAGAGGTGTCCCCCCACTTCCCTTCTCTTGCCTTCCTCGTTTCCTCCCTCCCTTCCTTTATTTTATGCTTTTAATGACAGACTCTCTGCAGCACCTGCAAGGTACCAGATGCTGTGTTGGATGTTGGGCATTTAGAAGTGAACCAGATAGAGATATACTCAGGAAGCAGACACTGAATGCGTAATTACCAAACAGATGTCTTTTAGGACAGGGAGGAGTATGATGAATGGGTGGGAGGAAGATCCGTGGATACCTGGGCTGGAGTGGCGTGGTCACACAACACTGCCCTGGGGCCGTGACCGTGCAGGGATCCTGAGAGTGATCCTGACCCCAAAGCCCAGACAGTTCTCCTGGTGTGGCCCCGGTGAAGGTTTTGGGAAACTCCCTACAAGCCCTTCTGCGTTTGAACTTGCCCCCATTGTGCATGCCCTCTATCTCTGGGGTGAGATGAGACCAGGAAAAAAAAATAGAGACAATAAAAATAAATAAACATTGAGCTTCTGCTGGGATACGCAGCCCTTTCACAGCAAATCTGGGCCTCTAGAAGACAGGGACACATTAGAGAGACTAGGGTTCACGTGTCTGATGCTGGTCATGAGACCCAGGGCAGCCTCCTTCCTGGGCCTCCACTTCATCCATGCAGGTGCCCCGGACGTGTCATTGGCTAGTGAATGAATGGGTTCTGGCACTTTCATTGCCTGCTTCCACATGCTTATAGCTTTGAGGCAGGCTTATGCTAATTAGATTTAGATGGTGTGCAGGATTGCCTGTGGCCATTCCATGAGGATGTGTCCCCCGGGATCAACCCCTAGTACCTCTCAGATGGTGCCAGCGTTCAGACTGACTCTCACTGTTTCTTTCACTCTGTATCTTCCTGGAGAACCGTGGGGAAGGATGGGGTGGAAGGGTCCTGGCATTCACCCATGTCCTCCAGAGATCACTGTTCCATGTCTGGTTTGGAGACATACAAAGGATGTGTCCTCTAAGCACACAAGACTTGGCAATGGCGTGCAGCATTCGATTCAAATCAACACACATTTCTGAAGCATCTCCTCCTCACAAGGAACCATTCTCACAGGGAACAAAAGAGGTCTTAAACCATAGCAGGGAGATCGTTTACTCCCAACTCCTCCTCCTCATCAAAGGGAAATAAGGCCTGGCAGCCCAAGAGGCAGTGTGACCTGTCCCCAGCAAGGTCATGCCGCAGCCCGAGAGCCCAGAGCTCTGGTCCCAGGTCCCCAGGTCCCGGCTGGTGATACAGCGGTGTCTCCCATCCAGCCCTCTGAAATGTGACTGCTGTTGATTGCTTTATTTTTGCACAGAAATAAATCCCATTCACCACTACAACCCACCCCCCGCCCCATCCCTATTGAAGTTCAGTGATTTCCTTTCACCACTAACACCCCAGGTGAATATTTCCCTCCGAACTTCTGAAGCCCCTTCTTCAAGGTTCTGGTTTCCCTTAATGTGTTTCCTCTTGGTTCCACTGAAAACCCTCCCTTTGCCCTTCCTCTCTGCCTCCTGGGGCTGGTCCTCCGCTCCACGTCGCAGAGTCTAGCCTTTCTTGTTGATTCCCTCTTTTCTCTCGACTACAAACAGAGGTGACCGAGGCCCTTGTACCCCAGTCCCAGGAAGGTCCTGACCTGAGGGCGCCCTACAGACGTGTAAACATTTTACCTTGCTACCCCAGCCAGCCGCTTTCCAAAGGCAACAGGAAAGCCAGGCCTGAGAGCCCCCTGGCCAAACAAAAACCTGCAGAGAGAGGAGAAAAAGAGAGAGGGAGAGAGGATCCTGTGTCAGATGTGAATTTTCTCATTAGAAGAATTTTCTGTTGAAGGGGGAGGGGTTAGCCAGGAGAGGAAGAGAAGGTGAGCAGAGAAGTGGGATGTGACGAGGGCAGGGATTGGGGAGGTGGGGGAAAGGTCAGGGGGGCAGAGGGTGAAGTCCAGAGGCCTGTTCTCTCATACTTCCTGTAGCTAAGACCTAGGGAAGCTCATTCCAAATGTGGAGTCAGAGCTTTGGCCTTGGAGAGGTCAGTGGGGAGGTGGCTTTTAACATGCAAGTCTCATAACAGTGGCAAAGCCAAGGGGTGTGGTGGGGTGGGTTACGATTTCTGAGTAGAATTTGCCAGTAAATTTGGGGAGGACCTGTGCTTTTTTGAGTCCTCATCCTACCAGCTGCTAATACATCAGTCACATTGTCTTTAGGGTGCCCACTCTCTCTGCTGTTGCTGTATTTTGTTTTTAGTCCTTTCCCCCTTTTCATCCTTGACACTACTCTGAGACCCTCCAGCATTTTAACAATGTACTCCCATCTGGACAACCGCGGTGTGCCAAGGACGGTATAGCCACTATGTCTTTTAAGCATGAGAGTGTATGTGAAGAGAGATACAGAGGAGGGGATTGAGATCCACGGAGGTGAAGCAACTTGCCCCGATGGACAGCCAATCATTGTTGTCATCAGAATTACCCTGAGTCCAAAGGTCCTGCTCTTTGTGTCCGGCCAAGAACACACTCTGTCTTCTGATTCTCTCTGTCCTTTATCCAGGGAGACATAGATTCGTGCCTCTGATTCTATCTCACCTTTTCTCCCACTCTGTTTGGAATCATCCATGTATGCATTCGTGGGACACTTGCTGAGTGCCTGCTGTGTACAACCCATAGTGCAAGACCCTGGGCAGGGTAGAGATGACCCAGCCCAAGTCATCATTCTCAAGAAGCGTCCTGTTGCGGGGAGACTCCAAAACCAGAGAGTAAATGTCCAGTTTCCTAAAAGTACAAAGAATTCAGAGGAGAGAGTGATTGTTCCTCACAGGACCATTAGGGAAAGCTTCCTGGGAGAGGTGGTTTCTGTTTTAGCCACCGTGAAACCTGGGATCACAGAAAATCCCCCGTGGACCAGGCATATGAGGGAAACCTCATTCATTCCCCTCCTTTTCTGGGGAGAGAACCAAGACCCACCAATACTTGGTGTTTCATCAAGGCCTGAGAGCATGTTGATATTGTAGGAGACCCTGGCCATCACTTGAAAGGTGGTAGAACAGGGAATGGTGATAGGGGAGATGTAGGTGGACTTGGAAGCTTGGCCAAAACTACCATCCACGTCAGCTGCTAACAGATTTACACAAAATCAAATTGTTTTGCCCCAGTACCCACAAAGAAGTACAGACTGTGTGGGCCTTCTCTATTGATTTTGCTAGAAGCTCTCTGTGCTCATTTGATGGGTGCTAATGGCAGAGGCACACTCAAAGTTATGGTGACCGCAACAATTCTCCCGCTGAAAGTAGGGACTGTCCTCCTAAATGAGCATCTTTTATTCATTCTCCTATCCCTCTCTCTCTCCTCCCACCTAGCCTCATGTATCGTCAAACAGTTAGAATACATTCTTAATTAGGAAGTCCTCTTCCCCATCCAACTGTTTGTCTGTGCCAAGGACACTGGGTATATTCCATAAAAGCTGGGAACAGGAGTTGATGAGAGTAAAGATAATTGATCCAGAGAGAATCTACTTAGTGACTTCCTGGTGTTTCCAGGCTAAGTCTAGAGATGTCTGGCTTGGAACTTTCCCAAACAGTCAACTGAAATTTGGGACAACCCAGGCAGGTGGTTTTATGCAGAGGGACCGCTGGTGACACTGATGGGGGAGAGGGAGGTAAAGTTAGTACCTAGGACAGTGATCGCAGGGTCTGATGGATCTAGGATCTAGTTACCAACCAGTTGACCTTAAACCATCCATCTCTTTGCCTCCTTCAATTTCTGTTTCCTCCTCTGCTAACTTAATATCATCACCGTGAGGGTGCTAAATGGGTTAAATGAATTAATGCATATGCAGACCTTCACACAATGCCTCACTTGTGACAGAGGCTTGGTTTTACTTAATGATGGAGTCCCCAACATCTTTTTATGCTAAGAGGATGCCTTTTACTTTTGAAAATATTAGCATTGATGTTAGAGGAAAGCAAGTTTGAATTGGCTCTCAGGAAATTTGTCAGTGACTGGGTAACCTAACAAATACCTTCCATTTCCTGGGTCTCAATTCTCTTAACTTTCAAGTGAAGGAGTTGGAATTGGTGATGTTTAAAAACCTTTCCAGCTCAGATAGTAAGTATGCCTGCCTTTCTTTGGGGGTGAATGTCAGAGCTAGTCAGGACTACTGTTGTGATACACGCTTTGCAGCCCCTGACCATCACTTCTCCAGGCAACGTTCCTGGCAGTTCACCACCGCTGATCATTGATGAGTTCTTATGGCTGATGCATTCCTAGTTATGATGACTGTAGTCGGAGCTGCAAAATGAGCACCTTCTACTGATCATTTTCTCTCTCTGATGCTTCTCTTACCTCTCCCTCTCAGCACACATGTCATTCTACACCCAAAACACCTTTAATTAAAAAGTCCTCCTCCCCATCCAACGGTTTTGAAAAATCAAAGATTTTCAGATTTTAATTATTGGTAGTATTACTGTTGTTTTCCTTAGCTCACGTATGTATTCTGCAAACAGATGTCATTTTTTGTGCACCCCATACTCAGAACCAATCCAAGTGAAACCACATGGGCTAACGTTGTGGTCAGAGCCTCCCAAAGCCACCTCATCCATGCACGCCCTTCCTCTAGCCCTCACCTTGCCGTCGGGGTGCTCTGGGGGTCACCAGGAGGCCACTGAGCGCAGTTTGTAAACTTCCTCTTCTAGGACATCCTGATAGGAATTTTATCAGAAAGAAAGAACTTCCCCCTTCCTTCCTCCACCCTTTATTTATTCATCTTTTTCTTTTGGGGCTACATAGGGCTCTATGACAAATGTTCTTATGCCTCACGTGACCGAGGATGGGTCGTGGGCATTCACACCGTCAGTGACCAAGGCAGCAGAGACCCACGCTACTTTTTCTCCTTGAAGACAGACCGGGCCCGGCAAGTGACCACCATCAATGCCCACCGCAGCTACCTCCCAGGCCAGTGGGTGTACCTGGCTGCCACCTACGACGGGCGGCTGATGAAGCTCTACATGAACGGTGCCCAGGTGGCCACCTCGGGGGAGCAGGTGGGCGGGATCTTCAGCCCCCTGACCCAGAAGTGTAAAGTGCTCATGCTGGGAGGCAGCACCCTGAACCACAACTACCGAGGCTACGTGGAGCGCTTCAGCCTGTGGAAGGTGGCCAGGACGCAGCGCGAGATCGTGCTGGACATGGGGACACGCGGCCCCCAGGGCCCTCTACCTCAGCTGCTCCTGCAGGAGAACTGGGACAATGTGAAGCGGGCCTGGTCCCCCATGAAGGACGGCAGCAGCCCCCACGTGGAGGTCAGCGGCGCCCCCGGCTTCCTGCTCGACACCAGCCTGGAGCCGCCGTTGTGCGGGCAGACGCTCTGCGACAGCCCCCAGGTCATCGCCAACTACAACCAGCTGCCGCGGCTCCGCCGGCCCAAGGTGGTGCGCTACCGCGTGGTCAACCTGCACGACGACGGCCGGGAGAACCCCACCGTGAGCCGGCAGCAGATCGACTTCCAGCACCGGCAGCTGGCCGAGGCCTTCAAGCACTACAACATCTCCTGGGAGCTCGAGGTGCTGGAGGTGAGCAACTCCTCGTTGCGCCGCCGCCTCATCCTGGCCAACTGCGACATCAGCAAGATCGGGGACGAGAACTGCGACCCCGAGTGCAACCACACGCTGACCGGCCACGACGGCGGGGACTGCCGCCACCTGCGCCACCCCGCCTTCGCCAAGAAGCAGCAGAACGGGGTGTGCGACATGGACTGCAACTACGAGCGCTTCAACTTCGACGGCGGGGACTGCTGTAACCCCAACATTACCGACGTCACCAAGACCTGCTTCGAGCCCGACAACCAGCATAGGTAAGACGGTCGCCCCCCCCCCCCACCCGTGGGTGTGGCTCCTGACGCCCAAGGGGCTGGCGGGAGTTTCCCAGTTCGCAAGGCAGACTGGACCAGGTAAGCACAGGACTGCAGGCAAGGTGGCTCCGTGGTGAAGCATCCGCCTGCCAGTGCCGGAGAGGCGGGTTGGATCCCTGGGTCGGGGAGACCCCCTGGAGCAGGAAATGGCACCCCACTCCAGTGTTCTTGCCAGAGGAGCCTGGCAGCCTGCAGTCCAAGGGGTCACAAGGAGTCCAATACAACTTAGCGACTAAACAAATACGCAAGGTTAGTGCCTTACCAAAATATTTCTGCATTGTTTCCTATAGGCTCAGAGGGAGCTCTCGAGATCCTGTCTTCTCAAAGGGTTCAGAGTCTAAAACTGGATGACCTGGGCTGAGTACTAACAGCTGAAGTTATAAAGCACTCTGCCATCCAGTGCAGTGGTCACTAGCCACATGTGACTGTTTTTAAATTAGTGAAGATGGAATGCAGTTTAAAATCCAGTTCTTGCGTTACACTAGCCACGTTTCCAGAATTCAGTAGCCACCTGGGGCTAGTGGCAACGAAACTGGACAGAGTCATATGGCCGCTTCTGTGCTAGCAGAAGGGTCTGTTGGGCAGTTCTGGTGGAGCTGGGATGGGCTGGGGTCAGACAGACTGCATGCTTTCTCAGTCACTATGCCATGGCTGAGTCTTTGGGACCCTGTGGACTGTAGCCTGCCAGGCTTCTCTGTCCGTAGGATTTTCCAGGCAGGAATCCTGGGTTCAGATCTCTTCCCTTGCTTTGTGGCCTCTTACAAGCTGTGTCCTCATCTGTACAGTGGGAATAGCAGTGACACCTACTTTGTGAAGGTGCTCTGAGGATCAAATGAGGGCAGCCAAAGCAAGTCTCTTCTAGGGGCTAGCAGGTGACTCCCTCTCAGTAAGTGCGTCTGCCGTTTCTTGAACAATAAAAGGCAGCATGTAGCATGCATAGGAGGTCAAAGAGGAACAGCTGACTTACAGCTTGAACATTTTAGGGAAAGCTTAGGTACAATGTGGACAGCACAGACTGAGTAGATTAGGCTGAGGGAGAAGGAGGATACTCAAGGCAGAGGAGCTTCACGTATTGCTGAGAACAGGGTGGAAAGGGTGGAGGGCAGATTTTCTGTCTAAACTCCTGACTTAGCCTCTGCCTTGCAGTACAACTCTGACCAGCAACCCCCCAAAACACCCAGAGGTGGACCATAGATGATCGCCATTTGATATGGGACCCAGGGGAACTAGTTTTAAGTCAGAGAGACAGTCCGCAATCCACTTTCCTGACTTCCCAGATTCATGCTGAACTTTTCCATTCTGTCCAGCTCACAGGACCCTGGCCTTGCTAATGGCTTGATTGGTCGGCTCATTTGCCAACCTCTGCGGGTTTTCTGCTGACTCTTCTCTTTATGTCTCTCTCCCAAGAGCAAGGGCCTCCCATGCACCGACAAAATACCTATGTGCAGAGGAATGACGATGCTGGCAAGAGAATGTCATGCCTGGCCCCAAGCCAGAGAGCACGTCAGCTCAGCCTTCTGGCACCAGGCGGGGCCCTGGACTCTCACCTTGGCTCAGGATGGGGGCAGCCCGTGTAGGAAGAAGCCTTGGCATGTGGCAGCTTCCTTCCAGGTCACAATGCACTTTCATCTGTGCTCTCAGGCTTTGATGGCGTTTGATGAGGATGACTAGCAGGGTTAGCATTTGTATTTGACTGATAGGGCTTTAGAGAGTGAAATGACTCAGCCAAGGTCCCAGGTCAGGAAAGACATTTGGCTAAATCACAAATGCAAGACTTCTGAGATGAATGTGATGTATGCTCTCCTGAGCCAGACCCCAGGAGTTCCTGGGGTGCCCAGATAGAGTGGGCATGGGAGGATGGATGAAGAGCCAGGAATACTGGAAGTCACTCATCTGTTTGTCCATTTATCCATTCATTCACTCATGCAACAAATGTTTATTCAGCACCTTCCCAGTGCCAGGAGGTAAGCACCGTTATCCCTGCTTTGCGGAAGGAAATCCAGGCTTCAGAAGAAGGAAGGGACTTACCCCCAGTCACTCAGCTAAGGCAGGAAGAGCTTATATTTGAGTCTTGCTCTGTTAACTCCAAAGCTTCCATGGAAGGGGGGTATTTTTAAATCCAAGGAGCAGTAAGAGGCAGAGTCAAAAAGCGGAGTGACTGGCGAGGTGGCTTTCCTAAAGCCTTGGGAGAAAACTGCTGAGTATGATTGGGTCAGGACCAAGGGCATCTGACCTCTGTGGTTGGGGTGCAGGGGCCGCGGGGCCCCTGGTTCCAGAGAGCTGACTATCAGCAGACAGTGCGGGCAGGTGCCAGAGGCCTCCTCTTTTCTAAGTCACGGGACCACATGTCCAGAATGTCCGTGAGCAGCCATGTGCCAGCGCTGTGACCACTCACACCAGGGCCTGTGTGTTTGCTGGCTGGAAAGTCCTGTGCCCCAGGGAGCCCCACGGGGGATGTTTCACCTCCTGATGAAGCTGGGGGAGGGCCCAGCATTCTGGCTGAATCAGCTCTCCTGTGTGCAGAGAGAAACCTCTGGAAGTTTGCAGAGAAATACTTGCTTTGTGACTTTTTAAAAAAGGAGGGAAGGAAGGGGGGAGGAATAAATGAATGAAAAAGGGAGGAAAGGAAGAGAGAGAGGAAGCTAGGAAAGGATGACACCTGTAATAGAAAATTAGATTGACATTGTGTTGATGATTTTTAATAAAGAGGTGAAGTTGTTTCATACACAAGGTATGCTCCTGCATTGCCTGCCTCCCTCCCTCCCTCCCTCTCTCTCTCTCTCAATGGGTGAAAACAATAAAGATAATATTTCAATTACTACTTCTCAATCTATGGTACAGAACCAGTTTTGTTTCCTCTACATTGCCGACCAATTCTTTTATAACATAACAGCAAAAATGAATTGCTGTGAACGAAGCACCCCCAAGAATGGTGAAGCAGTGTCAGAGTTCTCTAAAAGTTTCTAAATGCTGTCTCTCTACTTCTATACTGATTGTGCCATAGACTAAAAAGAAGGGGTTGGTGCACGGCTTACTTAGAGTGGTGCTGAGTAAAATTCATCATCCTGACAGTTTATGTAGCAGTTCCTTCGTGTAAAATAAGATCCACCAGTGATACAGCACTGCAGACTCTATCAGAGAATTACTATTTCTTCTAACACTTTCGCAGTCATTCTTTGCCTACTAATCCTTTGGCCCCCTTAGTCCATGTTCTCAGGAGTTCATGTGTTACTGAGGAGTACTAGTCCTAGCAGAAGGCTACAGAAGACATCAAAATGATATCAGATGTCAGACCTAGAAGCATCCTCAGAGATCAGTGAATCTAAACCCTGCTTCCCCCATAGAGGGAAGCTGAAGCCTAAGCTTGCACAGTCCATTAGTGGTCAAAGTGAGGTTAAGGATCCTCTAGGTTTCCGAGGCCCAGTCATCTGCTGTGATGCAGCTTCTCAGGACTGTGCTGACGTTCTTGCCTCTCGCGGACGCCTGCTTCCCCGCTCTCTGACCTTGCTCTCTTCTTCTGAGCATTTGGGTTTGTGACATGCTGAGATGAGGGAGTTTGGTAGAGAATCGGATAAGGACTTTGGGTGTCCATGAGCCACTGCATAACTATTAGAGCTACATTGGTCATGAGTTTTCCTTATTAAGAGGCCAGGATAAGGACACCTGAGTGAGGGTATGCACGAAGAAGGGGGCTGGGGAGTGAATGTGAAAGAGTGAACAGAACACTGAGAAAGCTGGGCCACCGAGAGGATGCAGCCTCAGCAAGGGGTCGAGGAGGGATGGGATGAGGAAGGGCTTGTAGAATAAGGAGTCATTCAGTATGGCTGGGGTCCAGAACATAAGCAGAAAGGGGTTCAGTTTATCTCATGAAAAACTCTAGCCTGCCTCTGTCCCCTCTTTCACTTCTTCAGGCCCTCCTTACTTTCTTCCTTCCCTCCCTCCTTCCTTCCTGTTTTCCCTTCTTTTCTCTTTAAACGTTGAATGCTCCCTTTGTGCCAGACCCATCCCTGCCCTTTTGGAGCTCACCATCCAGTAGATAATCCTGGCTACCCTGGCGGCTCAGACGGTAAAGCGTCTGCCTGCAATGTGGGAGACCTGGGCTCGATCCCTGGGTCGGGAAGATCCCCTGGAGAAGGAAATGACAACCCACTCCAGTACTCTTGCCTAGAAAATCCCATGGGTGGAGGAGCCTGGCAGGCTACAGTCCATGGGGTTGCAAAGAGTCGGACACGACTAAACAGCTTCACTCTCTTTTGTTCACTTATCCAGTGGATAAGAGAGATGAGCAAGCAAGGCATCGTGATCACTGGTGTGAAAGAAGGACCCCCCCACCCCAGTCTCAGCCAAGAGGAGCTGCCTTGGAGGGGAAGCACAGGTCTTTTTATTGGACTGGACAGTTATAAAAAGACATTCCAATGACTCTTTGGCCATTCTCTACAGTAGTGGAGGCAAGCCAGGTAGGCAGGACTTCATTTGCAGCCATTAGAAATGTCTACAAATAGGTTAGAATGTACTTGGTGCATCTTTTTATAAATGAAATGAAAAACCTGGATGTTACTGGAAATCCCGGGTATCAGGAAATCCAGGGGCAGTTGACACATTGGGCCGGGCACACCTCATGGTTAGAGGATGTTGCAGCACATCCGCCGAGTTCCCGGTGGACCCCTTCACACTGCGAGCTCTGGCATCGTTAGGTGAACTTCACTTGAACATCTGTTCATGTGGAATAGGACAGGTAGGGAAAAGGAGACCTTCCTGACACCCTGATGACAGCTCACAGGGAAACCTTTTCTTTGTCTTCCCTGCATTATTATTTCTAATGTAACAAGGGCATTCCCCTGGGGTCATGCTTTGTATTTTTTGGACCCAAGTGGGTGTTGATGGAATCTTTGGATAGGGCCGGAATAAGCCTCGAGGCAGTCTGCTTGACCCCTCTGCTAGTG